TGCCGTGGTCCTAGATCCTGATAGCTTGGGGGGTGCAGGAGGTATAGAGGACAACAAGCATTGGGAGGGGGGGTGACTCTTGGCTAGATATAGCCTTTTCCAAGTTCCTTCTCTCTCTTTAATGGTTTGATCTTTGGAATGTTTCAGTCTTTCATATTTTACTTAACAGAAAATTTGGGGGCATGAGAAAGAAACTTCCATGTTCGTTAAGTCACTGTCTCGTTTGTCACAGCAGCTTAACTGCCACAGTGAATTTTGTCCTTTGTGACTGGAGAGACAGGCTCTCTGTAGTACTCATTATAGCTGAAACTTGCTGAGTGTACCAGGCGCTGGATTCAACACATTACCTGCATTGCCTCATGCAATCCTCGTAACAACCCTAGGGATTAAGTACTGTGATTGACCCATTTCTCACATAAGGAAACTGAGGCTTAGAGAGTTCCAGCAACATTCTGGAAGTCATAGATCGACTCCTTAACCAATATTGTAGGAATGCTGTGATGTGCCAGGCCCTAGTTTAGTCTCTGGAGCATACCATGAAAAGTGTTGGGCCTGACGTTCCAGCTCACATCAGAATCCAGCTCCTGCAGGCTTTGCTGACAGCTTGGTGGCTTCCCTTGTGTGATCTGGCCCATGGCTGTCCCTCGTAATAGCCGAGATGCTTCAGTTCTAACTAGTAAGTGCTTATGCTAAGTCCACTTTCACATTCAGCTCTCAACCTTGTAACACAAAGACAAAAATGTAGCTAAATGATGTGACATTTTCTCTCCTGACTTAAAAATGCAATAATTATTTTTAGAGGTAACTCCTATAACTTGGAAAGAAAACCCTTTAGAAGCACAGAGTTAGACATACTGGGTTCAATTCAAGGTTCTACTACTTCCAGCTGTGTGACTTAAAGTTTTGGTCTCAACATATTTTTTAAAAGGAGAATATGAACTAACTTTAGAAAGTTGTACATGGGCTGAATAGGCAATAAATGCAAAGCCCCCTAGCCCTATGCCTGGCATGTAGTAAGGGATTTCTGGAGCCATCTAATGCACAGAAATGGATCACAGGAAGATCATACTGCAAGCTTTTGCAAACAGGGCCATGGCAGGAATACCAGAAATTAAGACGTTTTAAGCAGAGTAGATCAGAAGATTCTCTAAGCCTGTTTCCTCATTTAAAAAATGTTATAACAACATTTTGAGGAAAATAATTCCCATTAACATTTTATAACATGGAAGAGTTGGTATGAGGACCGACACACAGTAGTGGCTCAGGAAACAGCAGCTGTCAATATTGAGAGGAATGGTAAGGACGATATGCTTAAGTGCCCTGAATTTAAACTTATCTTGATGTTAGCATGATTTCCGTTGGAGATCCGCTTCCCTGTGATGATCCCAATAGGGCCCCAGCCATAGCCTGAGTGAGATGTGTTTGGAGGAGGGAAGATGGAGCCAGATGACAGACAGGTTTTATGGTGAACAAAAATGCGAGTGCCGTTAGTGATGATTTAAAAAAAAACAACTGCGAGTGCCCAGACCTAGGTCAGCACGCCTCTAACACTCCTGGGTATGAGAATCACCTGCAGCCCTTACTAACACACTAGGGCTCCAACCCAGACAACTTAAATCAGAATTTTTGCCAGTAGGGACCCAGGCAGCAGAATGTTATAAACACTTCCTAGGTGATTTTAGTGTACAGTGGATGTTGAGAAACACTCATCTAGGCACTCAAATTAAAGTACCGTCCTGGGTTCGCAGGTATTTTAATTATTGTGCACTAAATTAAGCAACAACAATAAAATCAGGAGGTAGCAATAGAAAGAAGTCAGGTATGTAGGGATGAATCTGAGTCAAAACTGAACATTAAAAAAAACCATGTACTTCCAAGAGAGATTAAGGATATTTATTCCTTCAAAAGATCTTTAGAATTATTAGCTAGAATAATGGAAGCAACACGTTTTTAGTGTTGAAAGTTCTGGATAGGAATTTTTAAACTTTTGGTGAGATTTAGGGTATATTCAGAGAAACAGAATAGCTTGGTCACAATATTTCCCCCAGGCATGTAGTTGTGGCATGTAAGTGAAAAAAGATATAAATCTGAATATATACTGTTGACCATTACTATATTAAAACAAAGAAACACGGGAAATGCCTATGATTAAATTTTATGAATAAATTCTAGTAAGTTTCATGATACTGAATTGGGCACCAATTGCAGGGGTCCAGCCCCAGCGGTCCAGGGGTTCCCAAAGGTATGGACGGAGTCAGCGAAGAATGAAGGTCACGGAGACAGCGTTCAGATGATCAGCATAGTCGGGTTCTCTCTTTATTCTCCTGTTACATCTGTATTTATACCATTTGATCCTATAAGCATGCCTCTATAGTTACATCATCATATGTTTTGGATCCTCCCTTTGACCTTCTACAGTTCCTTGTTTTATGTTTATAGCTTCTTATCTGACCTTTGATAAAAATCTTATCTATATCTAGCTCTGTTGATTTTAATCTTGTCTAGGTTAGGCTCTGTTCCATTATAAGGGCTAGTTTGTTGTCTCTATTCCAAGGTCATTATCCTATTGCTATAAGGAGATTTTCCTATTCTATGGTCTGAGTAAGGATTATGTAGCTTAATCGTGATTGTTCGTAGTTAAGGTGATTAACTACCCGCCTGGCACTTAGTTACGGGGTTTTACTGATTTATTCCCTTCCCTAGCCCCATTAATACCTAACTCCAGGGAAACAACCTTTCTTGGGGAGGTGGCTCTGGTTAGAACACATAGCGCTAAAAAAGGGGGGGCAAACATATTAAGAACAGTATGCTGTATACGCCAGGTCCCTTGAAACATATGCTGTGCAGATGTTTCTTCCCTGCAGCAACTGTGTCAAGTAGCAAGGATGGACCAGCTTCCGGCACCTCACCGTTGGGAATACGAATGGCCTTTTACATTTCCATATCTGTGTTTTTTAAAAAAAATGGTGTCATTTTTGAATGGAAAAAGAAAACATTAAACGGTCAGGACAAAAAACATAAAAAGGAAATAGAACGAAACATAATAAAAGGTGGATTTGGTGAGATAGGATCATGACTATTCTTTCAATTATTTTTCCTGTTGAGCATTTTTGCTATAGTAAGACTATATGTCTTTTTACAATTGGAATAAAATAAACTCTATTTAGAAATAAAGATCAAATCCTGTCTCTGTTATGATTTTGTTATCTGGCAAAGGGAGCTGGGTGGAGTATTCACAGTTTAAAGTCTAGGAATTGGCTAGCTTAGGAATTGGTAAACATTTTCTGTAAAGGGCCAGATAGTGAATATTTTAGGTTTTGTGGGCCTATGGTCTCTATTACAAATACTCAGCCCTGACATCACAGGACAATAGCTATAGACACTAATTAAATAAAAGAGAGTGGCTGTTTTTCCAAAAAACCCCTTTATTTATGGAAAATGACCTTTGAATTTCATATACTCTTCTTTTGATTTGCCCCAGCTCCCAACCATTTAAAAATGTAAAACCATCCTCAATAATGAAAGGATTATAGGAGTATACATAGACTATTGTAGGATCACATGGGAGTAAAAGTACTTCTGCTCATGGAACATGAGTTTATTGGTACTAACGAAAAGTTATCTTTGCGGAAATCACAAACTTTCTAAGGTAAGTTAGTTAAGAGAAAAGGCCTCATTAGAAAAGTTGGTCCTAAGAAAACCGCATCCCCTGGGCTGAAGGCGGCCCCTTTGTTCATGGTGTATACTACTGCTGGTTTTCTTACCCCCCAGAAAACCTTTTCTAGATTCCTTTCTCTTATGGCAGCAAAAAATCATGGTCAGTGAGTGAAATCACAAGCGGCTGCTTCTCCGTCAACACAGAATGTAGAAAATAATGGGAAGGCTGATTTTCAAAAACTATGCAGGAAGCAAACGAATTCAGTCAGTCCTGGCGTGGGGTAATTTGTGCATTGTGAGATGCCAATGCACACGCGGCCGGCCGCTAAAGGGAAACGTTTTCTTTTACCGAGTACATATTTGTCTTTAAAATCGTCCTTAATTCCCCTACCCGATAGATAGCTAACCTCTCAATTCTGCTGAGTACCTGCTGAGGCTCTTTTTAGAATAAACATACAAATGCAGGGATGGATGAGCCCACGCTGGACAAACTATCCGAGTTCGGTCCGAGTTCCTCCGGGCCCAGGTCAGGGGAGGTCGGAGCCGGGGGCCAGGAGCTCGGCTCCTCCTCGAACGACCTTATTTATCTATGTAACTCCGGTTACCAGCAGCAACCCTAGACTCTGGGCGCCTCTCAAAAACGGGGCGCCTCGGGCGCCACCCTAAAGCACTGAAGAAAAGTAAACCTTCACCATCTTTATGCTCCAACTTCTAAGCCTGCCCGCCTTCCCGGGAACGCGCGGAGGTAAGGAGTGCAGGGCTGCGTTTGGAAACCACCACATCCTGTTTGCGGAGCGGCGGGCGCTCGCGCGTGATGTTACGGAAACCTGAACGGGGAGGGGTCGTCGAATGCCTCGGGGCCTGGAAAGCGGCGGGAAACCTGTGCGGCCAGCTCAGGTGCAGGGCAGTGGAGATGCAGAAATCGGCCTCCTGGACTCAAGTCAAGACGGCCTTCCGGCGGCAGTCCCACGTTCAACACTGCCCCCCGCGGAAACCTGCCGCTTAAAAAGCACGCACTCCCGCGGTCTTCTTACTGTCAACTACTCGTCCGTGGTTCGGTCCGCATCTCACTGCTCGTCAAGGAGCGTCTTCCAATGTTGCCCCCGAAATGGCCAGCGGCAGGGGCCAGCCATGGCCAGGTAGTTCTGCAAAGCCTGGGTTCCGGAGTTTCTTTTACCCAGGACTCTTCGGGGCATCTTAAAAAAAATTCCGATGAAAAAGCATCACCATTTGCGCCCCTCGGCCCCGCCCACCGCGGGCGAGGCCGGTCCCAGGTGACAGGGCCCCGACCCCTCAGAGACTTCCGTCCTAGGATCCAAGGGGGAGGGTCTATGGACGGCCCCGGAAGTGACGCAAGGCGCACCCTCCATTTTGTAGAACGCGGAGCAGCTAAGTGCGTCAGTTGTCGAGAGACGTAGACGAGTTGAGTCCTGGTCTGCGGGGAGGCAGACATCTCCGTCGCAGACTACGGACCTCTCTGGGTCTCAGCTGCCAAAGATCCCGTCCGGTAGGTGAGTGGCTCACTTTGAGGGAATGGCTTCTCGGATCGAGGCTTCTTCATGGCCACTCGGATCAGTGGCCAGGGCTGCTCTCTTTGCGGAGGACGGCGTCCAATGAGCGCAGTTTACTCGAGGTGGGCGCTGGGGCACGTCTCCCTTGGGGTCTTGTTTGAGGGGAAGTGAAGGTGGAAGGGCGGTCTTGGTTCTGGTCGTTTTTCCTGCGGGGTTGTGTGCCCCTCCCTGCCTCTCGACTTCCTCCTTAGCCGAACCCCGGGAGTAGTGGGCTGGGGTTGGGGTGTGGCGGCCCGGGGTTTCTGCGGGCGGGGATGGAGACTCCGGAACGGTGGAGTCGGGGGAGGGCGTGGGAGGAGGGAGTTGGCACGCGCG